AGTAAACACATACACACACACACACACATACACACACACATAGACATACACACACACATACACACACACATATACAAATACACATACACACATACACATACATACACATATACACACACACAGATACATAGAGAGAGATACCAGAGAACCAGGAACGAGTATGTTAGTGTGAGAAGAGCAGCTGAGAAAAGATATGAAAATGATATAGCTAATAAAGCCAAGACCGAACCAAAGCTACTACACAGTCACATCAGGAGGAAGACAACAGTGAAGGAACAGGTGATGAAACTTAGGGTGGGCGAGGACAGGTACACAGAGAATGACAAAGAGGTGTGTGAAGAACTCATCAAAAGGTTCCAGGAGGTCTTTACAATAGAACAGGGAGAAGTCACGGCGCTAGGAGAGGTGGCAGCAAACCAGGTGACCTTGGAAAGGTTCGAAATTACAAGAGATGAGATCAAAAAGCACCTATTGGAGCTGGATGTGAGAAAAGCTGTTGGGCCGGATGGAATCTCACCATGGGTATTGAAAGAGTGTGCAGGAGCACTTAGCTTGCCACTCTCCATAGTGTATAGTAGGTCACTGGAAACGGGAGACCTACCAGAAATATGGAAGACTGCTAATGTAGTACCAATATACAAAAAGGGCGACAGGCAAGAGGCACTGAACTACAGGCCAGTGTCCTTAACTTGTATACCATGCAAGGTGATGGAGAAGATTGTGAGAAAAAACCTAGTAACACATCTAGAGAGAAGAGACTTCGTGACAACCCATCAACATGGGTTCAGGGAGGGTAAATCTTGCCTTACAGGCTTGATAGAATTATATGATCAGGTGACAAAGATTAAGCAAGAAAGAGAAGGATGGGCGGACTGCATTTTTTTGGACTGTCGGAAAGCCTTTGACACAGTACCCCATAAAAGGTTGATGCATAAGCTGGAGAAACAGGTAGGAGTAACTGGTAGGGCGCTCCAGTGGATAAGGGAGTACCTAAGCAATAGGAAGCAGAGAGTTATAGTGAGGGTTGAGACCTCAGAATGGCGTGAAGTCACCAGTGGAGTCCCACAGGGCTCTGTACTTGGACCTATCCTGTTTCTGATATACGTAAATGATCTCCCAGAGGGTATTGACTCATTCCTCTCAATGTTTGCTGACGACGCCAAAATTATGAGAAGGATTAAGACAGAGGAGGACAGCTTGAGGCTGCACGAAGACCTGGACAAGCTGCAGGAATGGTCGAACAAATGGATGTTAGAGTTTAACCCAAGCAAATGTAATGTAATGAAGATAGGGGTAGGAAGCAGGAGACCAGATACAAGGTATCACTTGGGAGATGAAATACTTCAAGAGTCAGAGAGAGAGAAAGACCTGGGGGTTGATATCACGCCAGACCTGTCCACTGATGCTCATATCAAGAGGATAACATCAGCAGCACATGCCAGGTTGGCTAACATAAGAACGGCCTTTAGAAACTTGTGTAAGGAATCTTTCAGAACATTATATACCACATATGTCAGCGTCTCCTGTTGTAGCGTCTTCTGTTGTAGCGTCTCCTGTTGTAGCGTCTCCTGTTGTAGCATCTCCTGTTGTAGTGTCTTCTGTTGTAGCGTCTCCTGTTATAGAGTCTTCTGTTGTAGCGTCTCCTGTTGTAGCGTCTCCTGTTATAGAGTCTTCTGTTGTAGCGTCTCCTGTTGTAGCGTCTTCTGTTGTAGCGTCTCCTGTTGTAGCGTCTCCTGTGGTAGCATCTCCTGTTGTAGCGTCTCCTGTTGTAGCGTCTCCTGTTATAGAGTCTTCTGTTGTAGCGTCTCCTGTTATAGAGTCTTCTGTTGTAGCGTCTCCTGTTGTAGTGTCTCCTGTTGTAGCATCTCCTGTTATAGTCTTCTGTTGTAGCGTCTCCTGTTGTAGCGTCTTCTGTTGTAGCGTCTCCTGTTGTAGCGTCTCCTGTTGTAGCGTCTTCTGTTGTAGCGTCTCCTGTTGTAGCGTCTCCTGTTGTAGTATCTCCTGTTGTAGCGTCTCCTGTTGTAGCGTCTCCTGTTATAGAGTCTTCTGTTGTAGCGTCTCCTGTTGTAGTGTCTCCTGTTGTAGCATCTCCTGTTATAGTCTCCTGTTGTAGCGTCTTCAGTTATAATCTTCTGTTGTAGCGTCTCCTGTTGTAGTGTCTCCTGTTATAGAGTGTTCTGTTGTAGCATCTCCTGTTGTAGTGTCTCCTGTTATAGAGTCTCCTGTTGTAGCGTCTCCTGTTGTAGCGTCTCCTGTTGTAGCGTCTCCTGTTATAGTCTTCTGTTGTAGCGTCTCCTGTTGTAGTGTCTCCTGTTGTAGTGTCTCCTCTTGTAGTGTCTCCTGTTGTTGCATCTCCTGTTATAGAGTCTTCTGTTGTAGTGTCTCCTGTTGTAGCATCTTCTGTTGTAGCGTCTCCTGTTGTAGCGTCTCCTGTTGTAGCATCTTCTGTCGTAGCGTCTCCTGTTGTAGCGTCTCCTGTTGTAGCGTCTCCTGTTGTAGCGTCTCCTGTTGTAGCGTCTCCTGTTGTAGTATCTCCTGTTGTAGCATCTGTTGTAGCATCTTCTGTTGTAGCGTCTCCTGTTGTAGCATCTCCTGTTGTAGTATCTCCTGTTGTAGCATCTGTTGTAGCATCTTCTGTTGTTGCGTCTCCTGTTGTAGCATCTCCTGTTGTAGTATCTCCTGTTGTAGCATCTGTTGTAGCATCTTCTGTTGTAGCGTCTCCTGTTGTAGCGTCTCCTGTTGTAGCGTCTCCTGTTGTAGCGTCTCCTGTCGTAGCGTCTCCTGTTGTAGCATCTCCTGTTGTAGTATCTCCTATTGTAGCATCTGTTGTAGCATCTTCTGTTGTTGCGTCTCCTGTTGTAGCGTCTCCTGTTGTAGCGTCTCCTGTTGTAGCATCTTCTGTTGTAGCATCTTCTGTTGTAGCGTCTCCTGTTGTAGCATCTTCTGTTGTAGCGTCTCCTGTTGTAGCGTCTCCTGTTGCAGCATCTTCTGTTGTAGCGTCTCCTGTTGTAGCATCTTCTGTCGTAGCGTCTCCTGTTGTAGCGTCTCCTGTTGTAGCGTCTCCTGTTGTAGTATCTCCTGTTGTAGCATCTGTTGTAGCATCTTCTGTTGTAGTGTCTCCTGTTGTAGCGTCTCCTGTTGTAGCGTCTCCTGTTGTAGCGTCTCCTGTTGTAGCGTCTCCTGTTGTAGCGTCATCTGTTGTAGAATCTTCTGTTGTAGTGTCTCCTGTTGAAGCGTCTCCTGTTGTAGCATCTCCTGTTGTAGCGTCATCTGTTGTAGAATCTTCTGTTGTAGTGTCTCCTGTTGAAGCGTCTCCTGTTGAAGTGTCTCCTGTTGTAGCATCTTCTGTTGTAATGTCTCCTGTTGTAGCGTCTCCTGTTATAGCGTCTCCTGTTGAAGCGTCTCCTGTTGAAGCGTCTCCTGTTGCAGCATCTTCTGTTGTAGCATCTCCTGTTGTAGCGTTTCCTGTTGTAGTGTCTCCTGTTGTAGCATCTTCTGTTGTAGTGTCTCCTGTTGTAGCATCTTCTGTTGTAGCATCTCCTGTTATGGCATCTCCTGTTGTAGCATCTCCTGTTGTAGCATCTTCTGTTGTAGCGTCTCCTGTTGTAGCGTCTCCTGTTTTAACATTTCCTGTTGTAGCATCTTCTGTTGTAGCGTCTCCTGTTGTAGCGTCTCCTGTTGTAGCGTTTCCTGTTGTAGAATCTTCTGTTGTAGTGTCTCCTGTTGAAGCGTCTCCTGTTGAAGTGTCTCCTGTTGTAGCGTCTTCTGTTGTAGTGTCTCCTGTTGAAGCGTCTCCTGTTGAAGCGTCTCCTGTTGTAGCGTCTCCTGTTGTAGCGTCTCCTGTTGAAGCGTCTCCTGTTGAAGCGTCTCCTGTTGTAGCGTCTCCTGTTGTAGCGTCTCCTGTTATAGAATCTTCTGTTGTAGTGTCTCCTGTTGAAGCGTCTCCTGTTGAAGTGTCTCCTGTTGTAGCGTCTTCTGTTGTAGTGTCTCCTGTTGAAGCGTCTCCTGTTGAAGCGTCTCCTGTTGTAGCGTCTCCTGTTGTAGCGTCTCCTGTTGAAGCGTCTCCTGTTGAAGCGTCTCCTGTTGTAGCGTCTCCTGTTGTAGCGTCTCCTGTTGTTGCGTTTCCTGTTGTAGCATCTCCTGTTGTAGCATCTCCTGTTGTAGCATCTTCTGTTGTAGCGTCTCCTGTTGTAGCGTCTCCTGTGGTAGTGTCTCCTGTTGTAGCATCTTCTGTTGTAGTGTCTCCTGTTGTAGCGTCTCCTGTTGTAGCATCTTCTGTTGTAGTGTCTCCTGTTGCAGCATCTTCTGTTCTAGCATCTCCTGTTGTAGCATCTTCTGTTGTAGCGTCTCCTGTTGTAGCGTCTCCTGTTGTAGTGTCTCCTGTTGTAGCATCTCCTGTTGTAGTGTCTCCTGATGTAGCGTTTCCTGTTGTAGCATCTTCTGTTGTAGTGTCTCCTGTTGTAGTGTCTCCTGTTGTAGCATCTTCTGTTGTAGCATCTCCTGTTGTAGCATCTTCTGTTGTAGCGTCTCCTGTTGTAGCGTCTCCTGTTGTAGTGTCTCCTGTTGTAGCATCTCCTGTTGTAGTGTCTCCTGTTGTAGCGTCTTGTGTTGTAGCATCTCCTGTTGTAGTGTCTCCTATTGTAGCGTCTTGTGTTGTAGCGTCTTGTGTTGTAGCATCTCCTGTTGTAGTGTCTCCTGTTGTAGCGTTTCCTGTTGTAGCGTCTCCTGTTGTAGTGTCTCCTATTGTAGCGTCTCCTGTTGTAGCGTCTTCTGTTGTAGCATCTTCTGTTGTAGCGTCTCCTGCTGTAGCGTCTTCTGTTGTAGCATCTCCTGTTGTAGTGTCTCCTGTTGTAGCGTCTCCTGTTGTAGCGTCTCCTGTTGTAGTGTCTCCTGTTGTAGCGTTTCCTGTTGTAGCGTCTCCTGTTGTAGCGTCTCCTGTTGTAGCATCTCCTGTTGTAGCGTCTCCTGTTGTAGCATCTCCTGTTGACTGGAGACATGGCATGACTACCACTGACATGACTACCACTGACATGACTACCACTGACATGACTACCACCGACATGACTACCACTGACATGACTACCACCGACATGACTACCACCGACATGACTACCACCGACATGACTACCACTGACATGACTACCACTGACATGACTACCACTGACATGACTACCACTGACATGACTACCACTGACATGACTACCACTGACATGACTACCACTGACATGACTACCACTGACATAACTACCACTGACATGACTACCACTGACATGACTACCACTGACATGACTACCACCGACATAACTACCACTGACATAACTACCACTGACATGACTACCACTGACATGACTACCACCGACATGACTACCACCGACATGACTACCACCGACATGACTACCACTGACATGACTACCACTGACATGACTACCACTGACATGACTACCACTGACATGACTACCACTGACATGACTACCACTGACATGACTACCACTGACATGACTACCACTGACATAACTACCACTGACATGACTACCACTGACATGACTACCACTGACATGACTACCACCGACATAACTACCACTGACATAACTACCACTGACATGACTACCACTGACATGACTACCACCGACATGACTACCACCGACATGACTACCACCGACATGACTACCACTGACATGACTACCACTGACATGACTACCACTGACATGACTACCACCCACATAACTACCACTGACATAACTACCACTGACATGACTACCACTGACATGACTACCACTGACATGACTACCACTGACATAACTACCACTGACATAACTACCACCGACATGACTACCACCGACATGACTACCACTGACATGACTACCACTGACATGACTACCACTGACATGACTACCACCGACATAACTACCACCGACATAACTACCACTGACATGACTACCACCGACATGACTACCACTGACATGACTACCACCGACATGACTACCACTGACATGACTACCACTGACATGACTACCACTGACATGACTACCACTGACATGACTACCACTGACATGACTACCACTGACATGACTACCACCGACATGACTACCACCGACATGACTACCACTGACATGACTACCACTGACATGACTACCACTGACATGACTACCACTGACATGACTACCACTGACATGACTACCACCGACATGACTACCACCGACATGACTACCACTGACATGACTACCACTGACATGACTACCACTGACATGACTACCACTGACATGACTACCACTGACATGACTACCACTGACATGACTACCACCGACATGACTACCACTGACATGACTACCACCGACATGACTACCACTGACATGACTACCACTGACATGACTACCACTGACATGACTACCACTGACATGACTACCACTGACATGACTACCACCGACATGACTACCACCGACATGACTACCACTGACATGACTACCACTGACATGACTACCACTGACATGACTACCACTGACATGACTACCACTGACATGACTACCACTGACATGACAACAGAGGTCGGCAACATTGTGGCCCCAGGAGCCAATCCCGGGAGCTCCAGTGCCAACACTTTAACTGGCCTGCCCTCCAGGCACTGTTTACTGAGTGCCTCCCCCCCCCCCCACCTGTACACACCTCACCCACTGAGTAAACTCAGTGTTAGTTTACTCAGCGGTGTGAGTCTCGTTGATCGCCAGTGATGCCGAGCTGAGATTAACAGTTATGTTCCAGGAGAGTGCCAACAGGGCGGCACTCCCACTACCCTCAGCTCCAGGGTATAAACACTGTTAACGTCGTGGCTGAGTGCCAAGTTCACATCTTACACCGTCACTCTTGCTCGTGGAGTGCCATGGACACCTGTGTGTGTGTGGTGGAGTGCCAGGGACACCTGTGTGTCGTGGAGTGCCAGGGACACCTGTGTGTGTGGTGGAGTGCCAGGGACACCTGTGTGTCGTGGAGTGCAAGGGACACCTGTGTGTGTGGTGGAGTGCCAGGGACACCTGTGTGTTGTGGGGTGCCAGAAACACCTGTGTGTGTGTCGTGGAGTGCCAGGGACACCTGTGTGTCGTGGGGTGCCAGGGACACCTGTGTGTCGTGGGGTGCCAGGGACACCTGTGTGTGTGTGGTGGAGTGCCAGGGACACCTGTGTGTCGTGGAGTGCCAGGGACACCTGTGTGTGTGGTGGAGTGCCAGGGACACCTGTGTGTCGTGGGGTGCCAGGGACACCTGTGTGTGTCGTGGGGTGCCAGGGACACCTGTGTGTCGTGGGGTGCCAGGGACACCTGTGTGTCGTGGAGTGCCAGGGACACCTGTGTGTGTGTCGTGGAGTGCCAGGAACACCTGTGTGTGTTGTGGAGTGCCAGGGGACACCTGTGTGTGTGTCGTGGAGTGCCAGGAACACCTGTGTGTGTGTCGTGGAGTGCCAGGAACACCTGTGTGTGAGTCGTGGAGTGCCAGGAACACCTGTGTGTGTGTCGTGAAGTGCCAGGAACACCTGTGTGTGTCGTGGAGTGCCAGGAACACCTGTGTGTGTGTCGTGGAGTGCCAGGAACACCTGTGTGTGTCGTGGAGTGCCAGGAACACCTGTGTGTGTGTCGTGGAGTGCCAGGAACACCTGTGTGTGTCGTGGAGTGCCAGGAACACCTGTGTGTGAGTCGTGGAGTGCCAGGAACACCTGTGTGTGAGTCGTGGAGTGCCAGGAACACCTGTGTGTGAGTCGTGGAGTGCCAGGAACACCTGTGTGTGTCGTGGAGTGCCAGGAACACCTGTGTGTGAGTCGTGGAGTGCCAGGAACACCTGTGTGTCGTGGAGTGCCAGGAACACCTGTGTGTGTGTCGTGGAGTGCCAGGAACACCTGTGTGTGTCGTGGAGTGCCAGGAACACCTGTGTGTGTCGTGGAGTGCCAGAAATACAGCTCCCCAGAGTGAGGCACAGACCCAGGGTGAGACACAGACCAAGGGTGAGGCACAGACCCAGGGTGAGGCACAGACCCAGGGTGAGGCACAGACCCAGGGTGAGACACAGACCAAGGGTGAGGCACAGACCCAGGGTGAGACACAGACCAAGGGTGAGGCACAGACCCAGGGTGAGGCACAGACCCAGGGTGAGGCACAGACCCAGGGTGAGACACAGACCAAGGGTGAGGCACAGACCCAGGGTGAGGCACAGACCCAGGGTGAGACACAGACCCAGGGTGAGGCACAGACCCAGGGTGAGGCACAGACCCAGGGTGAGGCACAGACCCAGGGTGAGGCACAGACCCAGGGTGAGACACAGACCCAGGGTGAGGCACAGACCCAGGGTGGGGCACAGACCCAGGGTGGGGCACAGACCCAGGGTGAGGCACAGACACTGTGCCACCCACTAACTAAAGTGTCCAACTAAACACATGATACTGGACACCTGCCAGATTTATGGGGGAAAAAATAGTGCCAATAATGAGAGAAGGGGAGAGAGGAGGCACTAAGGTGGAGCCGAGGGCCAAGTGCCCCGAGCAAAGTGATGGAGAAAGTTGTCAAGTATACAATAGGTAAACACCTTTAATGGACAAAAGATGTAAGAGAAGCGCACCATGGCTCCAGATGGCGAAGGTCGCGCCTGACTAATGTCATATTTGGGGTGACAGTCTTGTCAAATAAGACAGGAAAAGGATAGCTGGTGTGTGCATAAGTTGTCAAAATGTTGTTGATGCTGTTGGTGCCCGGGAGGTGGAGGTGTTGACACTGGAGAAGCTGGCGGGGATAACTTAGCAGGCACTGTGTTGTGGGGCTGTGTGAGTAACACCAGTCACAGTCACAGTCACAGTCACAGTCATAGTCACAGTCACAGTCACAGTCACAGTCACAGTCACAGTCACAGTCACAGTCACAGTCACAGTCACAGTCACAGTCACAGTCACAGTCACAGTCACAGTCACAGTCACAGTCACAGTCACAGTCACAGTCACAGTCACAGTCACAGTCACAGTCACAGCCACAGTCACAGTCACAGTCACAGTCACAGTCACAGTCACAGTCACAGTCATAGTCACAGCCACAGTCACACTCACACTCACAGTCACAGTCACAGTCACAGTCACAGTGAGTGAGAGGGGAGTGTGCCAGGTGGCGGGAAGTAAGGAGCGGAGTACCGTGAGCCTGGGTCCTGGACCCCGGCTGGTCCAGGTCTGGGACACACCTCCCCGTGGGGAGGACCTCCTACATCACCTCAGTGCTGCACACGTCACAAAGCTGATGACAAAGGTAAAAACCGAGGATTCCAGGATTGAGCAAACAAATGGTTGTTAGTATTCAATCCAAGTCAGTGTAAGGTAATGAATATGGGAAAGTGATAGGAGAGAGCAGGAGGTATGTACACTATGAGGGCACCCGCAGGAGTCGGAGCGAGGGAAGAGGATATGGTAGAAGATATAATTCCATTGCTATCACGAGAGGCACACACCGAGAGAGGGTAACATGGGCAGCATATGTAAGGGTGGCACACATTAACACTGTGGTATAGAGGCCTGAAGCAGGACCTTAGAGCTATACTGGAATATACAACACCTTCCTCAAGACCTTGTGAGGCATGAAGGCCACCTTGAAGGTGTACAAGGGTGTGCAACAAGATCAGCGCCACAGCTAAGACGGCTCAAGTTATGAGAGGCCACCTTGAAGGTGTACAAGCGTCTGCAACAAGATCAGCGCCACAGCTAAGACGGCTCAAGTTATGAGGATAACTTAAAAGAACAAAAACCTCACAATCTTCTAAAAGAAACAGAAGGGGACATGATCACAACATTAAATATACTGATGGTAATTATCAAGGTAGACAAGGACAACCTCTTTAACATGAGAGGCAGTATGAAGAGAGGACATAAGTGGACGCTGTAAACACACATGAGGCGCAGGAGTGTAGGGAAGTAGTGGTAACCTGTAGGTCACAGTGTAGCAACACTGAGAGGAGAAGTTATGGGAGCCACCTCCACCCACAACTTTATGGCCACATTCAATAACGAATTCCAATGTCAAAATACCTAAATACTAACACCATGGGCACAACACAGTAAGTAGGCGGGGCATACCCAGGTAGACCCTTCTTCTCCGCAGTCTCTGATACGGCAGTACTTATAGGTAAGTACAGTGCCCCCGGGTGAGGCACAGTGCCCCCCGGGTGAGGCACAGTGCCTCCGGGTGAGGCACAGTGCCCCCGGGTGAGGCACAGTGCCCTCGGGTGAGGCACAGTGCCCTCGGGTGAGGCACAGTGCCCCCCGGGTGAGGCACAGTGCCCTCGGGTGAGGCACAGTGCCCCCGGGTGAGGCATAGTGCCCCCGGGTGAGGCACAGTGTCCTCGGGTGAGGCACAGTGCCTCCGGGTGAGGCACAGTGCCCCTGGGTGAGGTACAGTGCCCCCGGGTGAGGCACAGTGCCCTCGGGTGAGGCACAGTGCCCCCGGGTGAGGCACAGTGCCCCCGGGTGGACTTGTAAAACACTTACATCAGCTAACTTTCTCACCAAACACAGGCACGGGGTCCACCTTGCTTGACAAACTTTTCCTGTTGTATAAATAAAGAGTCGGCAACATTTGATGGTGTGTGGCGGCCGTGACGCCGCCGACCCAGGCAGCAGGAGCGGGCTGGGAGGCCGCAACTAACGCTCAAGTGTGAGTGAGTGACTACTGCTCACAAAGGTAACTAAAGGTCGCGTTGAGAGGGGAGATACTGACGTCTTGTACTCACCTAGCTGTGCCTGCGGGGGTTGAGCTCTGGCTCTTTGGTCTCGCCTCTCATCTGTCAGTTAATTGGTGTGCAGGTTCCTGAGCCTATTGAGCTCTATAAAATCTGCAGTTGAAACTGTGTATGGAGTCAGCCTCCACCACATCACTGCTTAATGTATTCCTTTTGTTAACTACTCTGACACTGACAAAATTCGTTCTAATGTCTCTGTGGCTCATTTGGGTACTAAGTTTCCACCTGTGTCCTCTTGTACTTGTTCCACCTATGCTAAATCATATGTCTTTGTCCACCCTGTTAATTCCTCTAAGAATATGGTAGGTGGTGATCATGTCTCCCCTAACTCTTCTGTCTTCCAGGGACGTGACTTTTAGTTCCCGTAGCCTTTCCTCGTAACTCTTACCGCTCAGTTCCGGGACGAGCCTGGTGGCATATCTCTGAATCTTCTCTAACTTTGTCTTGTGTTTAACTAGGTATGGACTCCAGGCTGGAGCTGCATACTCCAGGATTGGTCTTACATAAGTGGTATACAGGGTCCTGAACGATTCCTTACACAAGTTTCTAAAGGTAGTTCTTATATTGGCCAGTCTAGCATATGCTGCTCATGATATCCTTTTGATGTGGGCCTCTGGGGACAGGTTCGGTGTGATATCAACCCCCAAATCTTTCTCTCTATTTGACTCTTGCAGGATATCACTTTCCAGATGGTACCTTGGGTTCAGCCTCCTGCTCCCTTCGTCTAATTTCATTACTTTACACTTTCCCGACTTGAACTTTAGTAGAAATTTTCTGGACCATTCCTCACACC